TGTACACATACACATATGCATATATATGTGTTGCAATTTTGATCTTAAGCACAGGTTTTGCTATTCATTCAATCAATCATAGGTCATATTTATGGAGTGGGTATGGAGTTTTGGAGTTAGGTTTTAAAAAAGAAAAATAAAGACCATGGCTATGGGGCCAGCAGGTGCCATGGTCATTAGGGGTGCTGGATTCCCATATGGCCAACCAGGATTTGTGTCCTTGACCTGGTGGCTTGCTTTCTCAATATATATATTTTAAAATGACCTTAGCTGGCTTCAAAATTAATACATTTTAGTGCAAAATATCCACATTTCCCTAAGTCTGTAAATTTAAAAAGAAGTTCTTGGATTTTTCCCAGACTATAAAATACCTTCTCTGATAGATGATTCAATTATAAGAAATATACTGTCTCTGGTATACTACTGGGAAGCCTTACAACAATGGTAATTTCAATAAAATAACTGTAGTGAAAGTGATGCTGTGAGTTAGGAGTTTCTTCCACTGAAGGTGTTAATGTGCCTTGACTCATTAGAGAATTGTATCAAAGTAGGTTGGGTTAAAGTTCACACTTCTGTGTTTTGTGTCTCTAGGCGCCCTTCCCCGGTTATTTTCCATAGCCTTAAAATTGTTCTCTATTATTTTTACCACATGTGCATTATGATGGAAAGGACATGATACTTTCAGCAGAATTACTTAATTAGGTTTAAGTAAGCAGTACATGCCAAGTAGGGTAGGTTTGCTTTCTAGTCATAAAAATGTGCCTGCAATGCATGCTGCGTCCCGAGGAGTGAAACATCGTGATTGATGCCATGATAAAACGATGAAGGGAAGGATAAAGCCTGAGAGATGAAAGTCTCAAAAGGGAAATAAAGTAGGGTAGCAGCTGCCCCCATCTTAATTGAAGCATAAATTTTAGGAACAGGATCTGAGGTTTAATTTCAAACACATACTGAGAGAGAGAGAGAGAGAGAGTGTGTGTGTGTGTGTGTGTGTGTGAGAGAGAGAGAGAGAGAGAGAGAGAGAGATGGGTATAATGAAAAACTTATAAATTCTTTTCAGCCCTCTATGAAGAATTTTTAAACTGTTTCTAAAAAAAGAGACACAAGGTTGCAAATGGAGAAGTGTGCTGATTATCACTGAAAGACATTGATTTAGTTAGGATTTGAGAGAAGAATAAAATCAGTGACGGACTGAACCATTCTAGACACTGGTACTGCAGTGGGCTAGACACCACGTAGTTCAGGATTCGTGGACTGAATACTCTTAATCTTTCTCTCTGCACATACTTTCCCTGCCCCACCCACCCGCTGCCAGAATCATTTAAAAAGATAGATTAGATTACATCACTTTCATATGTGCAGCCATCATAGCCATGCACACGAAACACTGAAGTCCAGTCACTGCTGGCCACCTCTTGTATTTTTCTCTATAGCCTCGTGTCACTCTTTTGATTCTTTAAACATAACATTTCTTTTTACACCATGCTGACTTCCAGACTGTGCCCTGAACCTTGAACGCTTTCATACTTGTTGCCCATGAATTAAAGTTCTCCCCACATTAGAGCTTCTAATATGCCTATCAGTTCCATCAGTCCTTTAAACTCATTTCTGGAGAATTTTGCTTGAAACATATCATTAGGGTTTTGGGTTCTCTTTTTTCCTGGAATGAGTAGTTCACATGTCTGCTTGTGTGTGTGTGTGTGTGTGTGTGTGTGTGTGTTTTATTCTAGGTATGAATTACTTCAGGACAAGGCAGAGGAGGGCTATTAATTTTGTTTCTGGCCATGTCCTGTTTTACATGTGGTATGCATTCAAAAATGTTTGTGAAACAAATAAATATGCAGCCAGGAAGTATTTAAGATTCACATGAGACTTTTCATAATGGAATCAGCTCCCTCACGAAATCCTCGAGATTTTATTTCAGAAGACCTCAGAATGCAGAGTTGCATAGGTGAGAATGCTCATTGCTCACTGCAGAGAGCAGGGGGGTATATTGCATACACCGGTGCTACTTAAATGTTTTTCATGAACCACCCCGAAGACTGCATATCCCATTACACAGGGCATACTATTATCAGAAATGCTTTGAAAATCTCACCTTTTATATCCTGCCTTTGTAGCTTAATATCATTTCTATGTATGAGCATAAAGTAATGTAATCCTGAGCTAGGCAAGCCTCTACTTTAAAAATGCTTTAAGAAAGAAAAATTGCTTCTAAGCTTAGGAACAGTGCAAATTTTTTATGGCTTTGTTATAAACTTTGGAGAAACAAAATTGGGAGGCCTTGACACACTCTTTACTTTGTGGAGAAGCTAGCATACATCATCATCATCACAAAAAAAAAAAAATACAACTGCCATTTATATGACAGAGAACAAAACTGAATTTAAAACTGATACACAATGTAAACCTGTAATGTATACATTTTCTAGTCATTTGAAAATAGTTAACCTTCACCTGTAAAAACATGTGAGTTCACTGTCAAATCTTTTATGTTCCCAAGAACATTTTTAAATCATATTTTTATACACAAACACAACAGTGGAATGTCCTATCTCCATCTTAATTAATAGGATTCACTTCAAAGAATTATATGAGGAGATATTATATTTCTTTACGCTATTTGGGTCAAATTATGTGTTGTGGGACCAGCAGTTAGCATAATGGCTATGTCGCTGGACTCCCACGTAGTCGACCGTGGTTCGTGTCCTGGACCCAGTGGCTTAAAACTCACATCGGGCGCGTGTGCTGAGAGCCCAAGATCCCGAGAGGAGAATGGAGGAGAAGGAATTGCGGCGTGGCCATTCCCCCTGGGGGGTGATTTCTTGCTTTCTGTCTCTCTGTCTCTCTCTGTCTGGCGAGCGCACAGACCCTATAGCAAAAAACTCTCAAAAAAAAAAATATGTGTTGTGCGTGTTCCCCAAATTGATGAGTTACAAACTCAGAAAAATAAAATATTCTGAGGAATGAAAATATATATCTCAGAAATAGAGAGCAGCTCTTTCTTTGTGACAAGATAAATTATTAGTATGTATTATCACTATCATTATGATGGTTTATCTTCAAAATAGATTTAATTTCCCTCCCCCCTTTTGCATTCTTCTTTCCAACTCTGACATTCTGATATGCAACCAAATTTTGTTGAAAATATTAAAATAAATATAATCAGAATGAACTTGATTTGGGACTCAGAGTTTAAGACTATAAAGCTTAAGACAATGGAAGTTTTTCATGAAGGGTTCTTGCCATAGTTATAATATGTGTTAGGTACTAATGCACTGAAGCATGGGACTTAATTGAACTTTTTTCCACCAATGCATCTGGATATAGATGTCCCTTTTATCAAAAGACTTGCAGAACTCTTGTAAATATGGGTAACCCAGTTTGCCACTACACAGCACAAAAAGTGATCCATCGGTTCAGTTCATAGAATAAGGGTTTCTGCCATGAATTTGGAAAGCTACATTATTTCTACACATTTTTTAAGGTTTCATTTTTTTGTTTGTTAGTTCTTGGCCTAAGACACGTGTGCTTGCTGGGGAGGGAGGGAGGGAGGGAGAGAGAGAGAGAGAGAGAGGGAGAGAGATCACTACCTGGGGAATTTTGCCATGTCATAATCACCTTTCCTCCATTCTTCTGTTGAGATTTTGTGCATGCTCGTACACACACGGCATATTTTCTAAGCCACCATCTAGGACCTGAACTGCACAGTCAGCCATGCGGGAGCCAGTGACCTCAATCACCATGACTCTTGAGTGGCCCTCTATTAATTTTAAATCTCTGATTTTGGTGGTTTTATACTCCCATTATGTCATCTTATAGATAATTAAATTGCCATGAATTGGGAAAGGATGTTTATAAAATAGAGAATTGATTTTAAACACATTATAAGCCTTCATTTATATCCAAACAATTATGTTAGGTTATAATTTATTGGCGTCATTCCATTTACTTTATTTTCAGAAAATAAAAAAGACATTTGTGAAAAGCACAAAGAGCTCAAGCATTAATGGTGTAAAATAATTTCCCTCCATTTTTTCTAAATTAATATATTTTATTAGGTCACTGGGAAAGTTATGACATATTTTTCATTGTTTTTTCTATGCAAAGTATGTCATGACTTTCCTAATGATTTAATGCTTACATTTTCTGTTTCCATCCTTGCACTTAGGAAAATCTGGTTTGGCAAAGAAAAATACTCAAAGAAACTGTAAAAATTTGGACTGTCTAAAGTTAGAGGAAAAGAACAACTTTTGATTTCCCCAGATAACTGTTAATAACAAATAAAATGTGTTATAAAGGAGAAATAGTTAAAGAGAAAGGTAAGAAGGAGAGACCAAAATATGAATAATAGTTGAGAAGAGATTCTGGAATAAAATTTAAAAAGTATATAAAAAAACTTCAATAAAAGTATAATATTTTAAATTCTTAGTCACAATAATAATAGAGTATTTCATTGTATCACCATTTTATATAAAACATGAAGAGAATTTAGAATGATACTTTCAAAGAGATAAAGGCAGAAAAAATGGTATAATGTTCTGAATTGGAATAACCTTGAAACATATTTATAAGATCATAGGCTGTGAACCAATATTCACATCTCTGTATCATGTAAAATATAACACTTAAAGGTAACACTTTCACTGCCGCACCTTCAAAAGTACAACTGTTTATGCCATTAGAGTTCAGAGTAGTTACTTAAAGAGAAAATCTTGATAGCTTGCAATTTTTGGTTCTTGCTTAAATCTAGCATCTACAATATTATTGTGCCTGCTTTATATGTATCTTAAAATAGCTCTCTCTCCTCTTGAGAGAAAAGGAATTCAATTATTACTTTATACATTCTCCTGAATCCAAAAAAAGCCCCATTCTTCAACAACCTGTTCAGTGGACTTGGAAACAACTAGAAAAGCTATACATTATTCAATACATCTTGGCAGCATACTAAAGCCCTTAGAGCAAGTGATAAATGATCAGATGTCTCCCTCAAACCTTACCTGGTTTACTCTTTTTAAAAATCCAACCCTTGCCGTCTATCACACAAAGCTCTTGGCCACTGGGTGAAATCCAAACTGAGTAGTTGATCATGATAATTCCAACATGTCATGGATAGCAGCATCTCTTAGAGTCCCACAAGCCAACTGTTTGAAATGAACCTGCAACAAACAAGATATTGCTTTATTTTAATTGAAAAATAGTGAACCATGTCTTAGGTCCAGGAGGCATCACTACTTAATCAATAAAGGAATCATAAAGGAGTGTGTAAAGGGCTACAAATGCCTCTCAAGAAGCTGATAAACATTAAAACGGAAACATTGACATTTAAGTACTACAGAAGGTATTTTTACAGAGTGCATGCTCCTCTTTGTTATTATTGATCTACTTAAGTTGTCTGAATTAATAAACATTATTGATAAGAGCACTCACACATACTATGTACTTCTTTTCCACATTCACATAGATGATCACTTAAAGTACTCGGAGTATTTCTCTAACTCCACCCATAATATTTTCAGAGTAACTGGGAAATGAAATACAAATCAGTGAAACCCATCAGCAGCTACAATAAAATCTATCCAATACATGATAGCATGGATCCAGGACGATCTCCTTTGTGAGTTCTGCAATGTTAATATTCCTGGTATAAAAACTGGGTCATTGCTTTAGGACAATGTGTAAAGAACACCTTTGACAGCCACATGTCAAGTTTCATATTCAGCAGTCATCATTATTCATACTAAGTTGCAAATCACAAGACAGAAACCATCACAAGCATGCTATAGCTAGAGTTTGTACACAAAGGTATGACTAGAGCTCAATAAATGAATTAGACAATTAATTCAGGGGCAATCTACCACATATTTTATGGTCTGATTGTATGTGTTCCTATGAGTAAACATGGCATTTAAACTTCACAAGCATGTTTGACTTCCATTCATAGAAGAAAAACCTTATGTACAATCAACATGTCAATGAACTCTATTCAAAACAAATTTGGAGAGACTAGTGAACAAAATTGCTAATGGGTCTTCTCAGGGAACCCTTTAACAACTATTAGATTTTAAAGCTAAAATCATATTTAGTAACATACATAAAAAAACTAATGTATCATTATTTTCTTAATAGTGCACAGAAAGGGCTGAGAGGTTGTTCTAACTCTGCAGGGGAACTCATGTGAGTGATTATTTGCAGATTCATGGACACAGGTGCAGAAACTGATTTTAACAAGCCACAAAATGATATACCCTCATGCACCTGTGATTAGAGCTTCAAGTATTCAAGTATTCCCAGAAGTCTATGTAGAGACTTTGTTAAAAGGAACAGCAGAGAGTCTAGTATGCTGTTTCAGAAGAATGGTAAGGTGATGAGGGGGTAAAGTTGAACTGCACATGGAAGACTAAAATGCAACAGTTCAAAATAAATTCTTTAAGAAAAAGATGTATATTTGGACCCTAAATGATTATACTGCAATTTAAAAAAATAAATTATGTTGATGTTATTACTGATAAATGTAAATATCCACACTTTTAGGCATATGCACAGCTAAAATTTTCTAATTTGTTGATCTAAGATCTAGTATTTATTAACCTAAAACCTAAGCCAACTTACAGAGGCAAATTGTTTTTATTCATGCCAAAACGTTTCCACTTCTTATCTTTTTTTTTTTTTTTTGGAGTAAACTCAGAAAACAAGTCAATTATTTTATAAGAGAAATCTGTTTTTCTGACTGGGATTGCTCTTTTGATCTCTTAGTAGTCATGTAGGATATTGGAAGAAGCGGTGAACTGGTAAACCAGATAAAAGAAAGTATTCATAAACATTATTTCCAAGCTCCCCAACTGGCTGTGAAATGAAGAATTTTTGAAAGCAACTTTCTTTGGAAGCACCCTTTGGCAACCCTACTGGTACTTTACAATTTAGTTCTGCCATTTATAAAAATGTTATAATAAGACAGCATAACTCTTTACTTTTTAGATAGCTTCATTTCACTATACAGAAATAATAATACTACTGATCCCTCCTCAGAATAGAGAGAATTTGTGTATTTTTGTTTTCTGAGTAGTGATGGTTCTCTACTGATCATGAGGACTGTTTTATTCATTAACCTACCTGTTCATGCCATGAACTTTAGTTGAGCATCGCTATCATGCCAGGCATGGGATTAGGTGTTACAGATATAAAATGAAAAGAAATATTCTCTCATAGAAAGACTGCCATCTATTCTATTCTGTTAATACTTACTAATAACCGAGAAGGCAGCAACCTTAGAGCTAATCAAAATAGCTAGCCTGTCTTATAACTAATCTGCCCTGTGACCAGAGCGGGACATGTTATGAAGTTTGTCAGTGCTAGCACTGCAGGGCCCAGGGCAATGACAAAGCTGTAGAATAAAATGATGGATTCACACAAAGGACAAATGTGAGGATTGTACTGGATGTGATGGTTTTGTGTCACTCAGATTTTCTTCTGTAAGCTCAGTTAGCAGACTGAGGTAAAATGGATCAGAAAAATACAACTAATTAGAATTTGATGGTCCACTAATATTTCTAGCACCCAACATAGAGTGGCTGTGTATAAGGAATCACCATACAACTGTGTCACACGCACCCCAACTATCATCTCATGGCAGTTGCTTTGCACAGTTTCTGTTTTATTATTCCATTTGTTTTCTCAGAGAGGATATATAAAATTAAATGCATATATTCTCAAAGAGAAGTTCAGGAGGAGGTCATAAGTACCAATCCTATGACATTGGTCTAAAAGAATTGTTAACACAAACTTTCATTATGAAAAAAATGTTTAAAATATTTTTTTCATTTCTTTTTCCAGTTACGTCACTGAATAAGACTACAAAGAGAACAAAGATAACGGTAATAATTCATACAATATGCTCTTAGAAATTAGTTTTTTTTTTTTACTAAAATCAACAGGGTTTTCAAATAATTTAATTTTCAGCGATTCTCTCAGCTTTTGAAATTTGCTTATTACTGATATGAGGAATCTGAAAACAGGCTATTTTTTAAAATACTATTCTTATTTTTAAGATGCCTTTATGCTTTTAAACATAAATCACAGACAAGTGCATTTTAGTGTATACAAATTATACTCCAATAATTTTTATTTAAAATTTTAAATGAATTTCTAACTATGTTTAAAGAAGTTTCAGATAGAGGCCTGATATACAGAAGCTATTGATAAAATATTATTATACATGAATTTAAAACTAAACAAGGTCAACATAGAACCTAGGAAATAAAGAATAAATCTGAAGAAATACAAATTCTGTTTTTTTTTTTTTTTTTTCCTGGTCTGACCCTATTCAATTGTGCTACTCTGTGACTAAGTTTTGGTATTCTCTCCCTTTTCTTATGCACACCACTCCTAAGAAAGCTTTCCAAAGGATCCCCTCAGCACTTATGCACTCTTTTATTGGCTCGTGATTATACTTGTGTTTTTCTTGCAATGTTAACTCAGGAATGTGTATCATCTACTCTATAGAGGCAAGTGGCATAGCCCTCTGGGTAGCCCAAGAACTAGACCTCAGGATTCTGGGAGTGTATTGTATTTGTTAAATGTCTGTTTGGTATATTTTCTGAGCTTTTTATTTAAGTCACTGATTTTCCCACACAAACATCACAGATAAAATCCTTGGGAATGGAGGAATAGATAGATTGTCAATGATCAAAGGTATGAGGCCTCATAAATTTCAAATCAGTCTCTTATCAGTGAATTTTGGAAAAGGGAGGATACCTCAAATTTTTAGTCACAAAATTATTCCTTCTAATATTTTTCCTTCATTTAGTCATATGAAAAGTTCACAGATTCTTCCTCAGCAGAAAGAGGTCATCGACAACCACTCATAATACTGTCAGTTGCTATCTGTTTTCTATCTACTTTCTCATTTAATTTTCTCAAAAACTGTGTGAGGTAACTTTTATAATGAAAGTAAAAATAAGAGAGTTTAAATTACTTGGCAAAGACAAAAAGCCTTTGAAAAATGCAGAGGAAGGAGCCAGTAGGTTGCTAGGTGGTTAAGATGCTGAACTCCACAGCGCCTACCGCGGTTCTAATCCAAGACTCAATGGCTTGAAAATCATGCTGGTGGCATGTGTGTGTATGCCCAAAATTCCAAGAGGAGAATGGAGTAGTAGGGACTATGGTATGACCATATCCCACAGGGGGTGATTTCTCACTTTTCTTCTCACTGTCTCTCTCTGTGTGGTTCTCTCAGGCACATGCCCAATGACAAAAACCTAAAAAGAGAGAGAGAGAGAGAGAGAGAGAGAGAAATGCAGGAGAGATTCCAATGCAGTTAATTGAAGTGCTTTACTCTCAATTAATTCTAAGTTCTTATTGATTGAATTTGAGAGATTTGGTCAGTCTATAGATGAAAAGCTTAGTTTCAGGGAAGTGAAGTAACATATCAGAGGCCATTCAGATCACAGTGAGACATGGATGATGCCTAAACCCATGATGTCTCTGTCTCCCCAACATTCCTCCTCTTCTCCAGCTTACTCAGCACAGAGCCAGACATATTTTTAGATTTCCAATTTCTTTGATTGTGAAGAACCATGTTTTTTATGTTTTTAGAAAGATGATACTAAAGCCAGCAAACAAAATATAAAGGATTTCTGAGTACACGATTTTAAATGTGCTTTATTTTCTAAAAGCAACAGATGATCTCTCTTTCTCTCAAGCCATTTCTCCCATGAGGGGGAAAAATATAGACACAAGGAGACTGTGTTGATAGATTGTGACAAATTCTATGATTTGTTTAAAATACAAATAGCACACTGCTGCTGCGCTAATGCCCATTTTGCATGTGAAACTACATTATTAGAAATAACAAGCTTAAAAGAATCCTCCAAAATATTCATTTGATATTATTTTCATTTCAGAACCCAGCAGGAAGTCTCTTGAGTGATGTAAAACAAGACCCAGAGTAATTTAATCAATACCTAGATTCTAGTAGCTGATACTCAAACACAAACAATTCACCATGTTCCTCTTTCTTCACACCTAGTTCTGAATTTGATTCTGATCCAGAAACTTTGTTAATTAAAATAGGTCATATTCCTATCTGTGTTCTCTTAAAAGAGGCATTGATTCAATGTATTCCCAATTTTTCCACAACTGAAAGTTGCCTCCTTTCCTT